TATATATATATATATTTAAAAAATCAGCTATGCCTCTAGCTTCATAAAATGCTTATCTAAAATTTTACGTCTTTTATTATTAGAGTCAAACAGAAGGGCAGTGTGGTAGGCAGCCTCTAAGACGGCCCCCCGTGATCCTACCTCCTGGTTTTCAGGCCCTGGCATAATCCCCTACCGTTAGGTGTGGGCTGGATGTAGTGACTCCTTTGAGTCTCCATTTCCAGCCTTTGTGAACAGAAATTTCTTATTGCAGTTATTCATGCCTGATCCATCATTATTTGTTGGGAGTGTTAGACAGGTTACTTGTCTCATTAACTTCATGGGTCTTCAGATGGAGAGGAACTGCTCCAGGAGCTGTACTTAAAGAATCATACCTGAGGAGCTTCACCCACCCTGATCTGATTTCAGTGATGAGATTTTGGGCTTCGAGCTGATGTTGCAACGCCATGAGACTTTTGGAAATCTGCTATGCCTCAAGGGTGTGAATGTTTTTGCTTGTAGTCTCTAAGATGGCTGCCAATGTTCTCTCCTCCTGGTTGCCCATCCTTTGGGTGTGGGAGGGACCTAATGACTAGCTTTTAATGAGTAGAATACAGCAGAAGTGATAAGGATGTTACTTCTGATATTAGATTGTAAAAACATGGGCTTCTCTCTTGATCTCTCACTTGCTCACTCAGACGGAGGCCAGCTACCAGGTTGAGAACTGCCCTATGGAGAGGTCCACATATTGCAAGGGGCTGAGGGAGGCTTCCAGCCAGCAGCCCACAAGGAATTGAACCCTACCAACAGCCCCAGAGGGAATTTGGAAGTAGATCCTCCCTAGTGAAACCTTAAGATGAGTGTAGCCCCTGCCAGAGCAGGCACATGAGAGGCCCTGAAGCAGAGGATCTATAGATAAGCCATAAAATAATTATCAACATTATGTTGTAATAGAACATTTGAAAAATATGAATCAGACACATACACAAAAACACATAAAAGAAAAATAAAGTCAAATGCAGTCCTACTACTCAGAGAGAATCACTGTTTACATTTTAAATGCATCTTTTCAGTTTGTTTTCTGTATAAAAAGAAAAGTAATATTAAAATTATATATACCACTGGCTAGATGATCAGTTCCTTGAGGTCAGGGACTGTGAACAAATCTTTTTTTTTTTTTTTTTTTAACCTCTAATACCACTGAGTATTGTGTCTGGCAAACAAAAAGAGGTGAACTGGACATCTTATTGAGGCCGCAGTGGTAGCAGCCGCTCTTTGAGTCTCGCCATGCCACCCAAGGTTTACAAGAAGAAGAAAGATGCTGGAAAGCTGGCCAAGAAAGACAAAGACCCAGTGAAGCACAAAGCTCAAGTAATTTACACCAGAAACACCAAAGGCGGGGATACCTCACCTGGTAGTGAAGGTACTTGAACAGGTCCCACCAGCTGTACATTTTGAAAAATAAAACTTTATTAAATCAAAAAAAAAAAAAAAAAGAAGAAGACCACTAACACTCCTCCAAATGAAATGACAGCACTTCAAACAAAAACCACAGGGCTAAGATAGGGTGTTTATTGTAAGTATTTCCTCGGTGTGAATTTTTATTATTATTTATTTCCACAATGTTCCATACATAAAATTATAGTAAAAAGATGACTATAAACAGCTATACCCCTCCATTTCTATGATCAGCACACTGCATTACAGTAAACCAAGTTTGTATTCCACCATCAAGTATGGTTCTCCCATTATTTCACTTTGTGATGGATCATTAAGAATATCTTCAAATCCAGCCGTCTCATCATTACCCCTCAAAATATCCAGTGAAAGGTATGAGTCTGGAAGAAATGGAAGATACTGAACCTGCTGCACTGCCTTGAATTCCATTTGTAATTTTAGTGGAGCAAACAGACCCCGGATGTTTCTCAGTGTGGAAAAACTCATTTTATCTTGGTTGAGCTGGAAATTTTTTTCTGATAATTCAAGCGGATGACTGGCCAAAAATTCATTTTTCACACAAGAAGAACCTTTTCCAAGAAGATCATGACTTTCAAAAGGCCCACTTGCTGAAATTTCACTAACTGCAATACTGTCCTTTAGCTAAGATCCAACTTCTCTAGTATCCATCTTCAGCTTGCTCTGGAAACAGTCCCTCAGCTCCCTTACCCAGCCAGCCCCACCACTCACTTCCATTTCCCTCAATGTGAATTTTTAATAGATTGTTTCATTGCTTTACATCCCTCCTAGGCCACTATTTATTAAGGCACTGTTTTTCCACTGCTTTTAGTGCACCTAGTCTACTCAATTATCTCTCCAACAAAAGGCTTGATCTACATGTAGGAATAGTTTTCAGGGATTGCATTCTGTTGTATGAGTATTACTATGTTCTTAATAAAGGGGCAAATACATCTATTTGTAATCCAAAAATACAGGCTAACATTGGATTAGATACTTCTAAACTCAAATTTTGTAGGTGAGTGGTGGTAATTTCCAAGGATTATGGGATACCAAAGTTACTAAGTGGAAACACTTAACTACATGAAAAAATTATAAAGATATCAGATTTTCAAACTTGCCTTTTCCTTTAGATTAAGAGATAGATTTATTTAGACAGCTGAAACAGGGCACTGTAAGAGATGTTTAGTCTCCTTGACTATTCCCCAAAGACTTTCAGAAAGGAATGACCTAACCAATCTGATGTTTTGACAGGGCCTGCACTGATTATAAGAGAGATTTTTGTACTTGATACGCTTAAATAATAACCTGCATGATTAATGTGACTGCAAACAATATTGGTTTAAGTTATCCAAAGAGCAGTTCAACAATGTAAGAATGCAGACTATGATGGATCTTACAGAGGTACCTACAGTTTCTCTTATATCGTGTGAATGCCTAACTAGGTTTGATTATACAAACTAAATGAATTCAAGGATACCTATGATAATAAAAGATACTAACAATATGTAATTTAAATATCCTGTGGGAAATACTTCACTAATGGTTGATTTAAAATGTCTAAAATAGGAGATTCTCTAATATAGTACAAATGGAAGAATTAAGGAATTGGTGGTATTTATAAGACCACATAAGTATTTTGGCTTAAAAGGCTTTTGCATTCGCATTAGTTGTCCAGTTTTTTCCATGCTGCCAAAATCCTAACCTCTTTTGATTAATGAGATGCTAATCCTGTTGGACTCCTATGGTTCAGTAAACTTTAATGCTGTGAGTCACACAAAAGTCTGGAGCAGCTGTCACTGATTTCATTCTCTTCTGCATTCTCCCTTTTCCCTTTTTGGAGCCATCAGGGTTTCCTGTTCTGTCTCCAGAAGAACCACATCATGCAATATTCAGACCTCAATCTTACTGGAAGTCACAGAACAGTGCCCGAGGCTTAACTTAGTTGCTGGTTTTTTCTTGTCATTTATTTCTGTCAAAATGAGCTCCTCTGATACTATTTTCGAGATGTTTCATCCCATATTTTACCATCCGAGTTTGAATAATGACTTTCTTGAACTGTTAAGGAAGTGGTTTTAAAAATTATTTACAGCTACAGCCTGGTGAATATAGTCAATAATATTGTAATAACTGTATTATGTATTGCATCACGTGGGTACAATATCAAGGGGAACACTTTGTAAAGTATATGGTTGTCTAATCACTATGCTGTACATACAAAATAATATTGAATGTAAGCTGTAATTTTAAAACTTTTTTAAAAACTACAAAAGCAATGTCTGTTTAAAAAAAATTATTTATAGTATTTTCTGGTAAGGATTGTACACAACTTCAGGAAACACAAATTTATAAA